GGAAACCTGTGTCCTCACTTTTGATGGCCAGGTTCTGCCTAAAAGAGTATACTGTTGTTACAACTCGCTTCCTGTTCAACAATATATTTACCCAACCGTACAGTGTAGGAAATGCTGCAGGTTTGGCCATGTGGAGTCCATCTGCAGGTCCAAACCAAGATGCAGCAAGTGTGGCCACGAACATCCTGGTAATGGTTGTGAGGTATCAGAAAGAGAGGCCTTTTGTGTGCTGTGCTCCGGTGACCACTTTGCTTATAGCAAGGCTTGCCCGGAGTATGGTAGACAGAGAGCTATTAAGACCATGATGGCGGAAAGGAACATATCCTACATGGAAGCAAGCAAGGTTGTTCCCTCTCCAACACGCCGATACGCTGACATCCTAAAAGCTCCACAAATCAACCAACTCCCTCAACCTTCTCAATCCACTCAGCCTACCCAATCCCTCCAGCACACACAGTCCTACAAAAAAACTGTGGTTCGCCAACCTAAACCTCGATCCCCACTCTCACATTCCTACGATAAAGTCGCACACCAATCCATTACTCAATCTCCCCAACCTTCACAACCTAATGGTTGTGCTATGAATAACTCATCCCTTGAATCCTCAACTATTGATCTTCTGTTACAACTCTTAACCTCCCTATTATCCCCCAATTCATCTCTATCCCAGTCTATTATACCGTCCAACGTTGCTGTCCCACTTATCAATATTTTAACAAATTTCAAAAATGGCGTCCCACAAAGTATTCCTACAATGGAATGTGAGGAGTGTATTCCATAAAAAACACGACCTCATATTCCTGTTGAACAAATTCAAGCCTCTAGCTATTTCTCTCGCTGAGACCTGGCTTTTACCAAGTCTCAACTTCCATGTCCCCCATTTCAATATTCTTAGATGTGATAGGCCTGATGGCTATGGAGGTGCTGCCCTCCTTATTAATACTAAAATCCCCTTAGTCCCCCTATCCTTGCCCCCATTCCTTGAGGATATCAGCGTGGTTGCAGCTAAGATCTGTAACATATCCGTGCTCTCTATTTATATAGCTCACCCCCATCAAAGTTTCCTGCCTACATTGAGAACGATTTTACAGGATCTACAGGGCCCAATATTGGTTATGGGAGACTTTAACTGCCATCACTATAGATGGGGATCTGAACACTGCGACTCTTTCGGTTCAGGTTTAGTGGAGATCCTCGATGATCTGAGCCTCTGCGTACTTAACAGTGGCTGCTCCACTCGTAGAGTTCTTCCTGGACAAAATAGTAGCTGTGTGGATTTGACTATTTGCTCACTCGACATCGCCGCAGCTGCTAGCTGGCAGTGCACCGATCTGTCGCATGGTAGCGATCATTATCCAATTTTAGTAACCCTCCCAACTTCAACCCACTTGGTAAAATCTCCGCCCCCCCTTTTAAAATATATCCTTTCAGAAGCTAACTGGCAAAATTTCTCCCAAACCCTCGAAAACTCTGTAAATGCTCTCCCCAGACTAGACCTTAGACCCTTAACCCAGGATGATCGTTACCTGGTGATGGACTGTTGTGACGCGTTCGTAGAGGCAATCAGATCAAGTGCAGACAGTTCCTTCAAAATTAAAAACTCGAGCAAAGGCAAAATTCCGTCACCTCCTTGGTGGGACAGTGAATGTACTAGGGCAGTCAAGTATAGGAAGGAGTCCGAAAGGAGATACAATGCCGATATGACCACCCATAATTTACTCACCTATCAAAACGTTTTCGCCTCTACCAAAAGACTCCTTCGACGCAAGAAGCGCGCCGGTTGGGTTAAATTTTGTTCCTCCTTGTCCCCATCCACCCCATCCTCAATGGTGTGGAAGAACATAAATCGGTTCCGATCTGGTTGTTCGCCTTCTGTCTCTTCCTCTATCTCCCCCAATACAGCTGAGCTTTTCCTGGACAGAATTGCCCCCCCGTATGTCCCACAACTCGATGAAGCGACCTTACCAGACTTACCGCTTCAGTCAGTGGATACCCATGACGACCCATTTTCTCTGGAAGAACTGAACATGGTCCTCAACAGTGTGCGAGACTCGGCTCCTGGCATAGACGGCATTCCATATTCTTTCATAGTTCAGGCCAAGCCTAGTACAAAAACTTATTTTTTAAACATTTTGAATTTCTGTTATTCTAACGGTTGGATCCCAGATACATGGAAAGTTCAAATTATTATCCCCATTCTAAAACCAGGAAAACATGCTGGTGATCCAAACAGCTTTAGACCAATCGCCCTCTCATCAGTCCTTATTAAATTATTAGAACATCTCATCAAAAACCGTCTCGAATGGATTGTAGAGTCAAGGAATCTACTGCCAAACTATCAGTTCGGCTTTCGCAAAGGGCTCAGTACAATGGACAGTGTTGCAGTTTTAATAACTGATATCCGTCTTTCTCTGTCACAAAATGCATCTGTTCTAACATCTTTTCTCGACATATCTGCTGCATATGACAATGTCTTAATACCCATTCTCAGGCAGAAACTGCATCAGCTGAGAATTCCGGTTAAGATGATCCACTGCATATGCGCAATGCTTGTGTCCAGAACTCTAGTCCTAAGGACCTTAGGTGAAGAGTTTGGCCAAAGAAAGACCTGGAGGGGCTTACCACAGGGCTCTGTACTGAGTCCGTTGTTGTACAATCTATACACTGCCGACATGGGCTCATGCCTAAACAATGATTGTAGCATCCTTCAATATGCCGACGATCTGGCATTATATGTTTCGAACCATTCCATCCAAGAGGCAGCCACATCACTCACTATTTCCCTTAATTCTCTGTGGCAGTGGCTATCAGATCATGGCCTTAGTCTTTCTGCTCAGAAAAGTGCGGTTGTTATTTTTACCAGAAAGAAGACTCTGCCACAGATTGATGTCCAAGTACAGCTGCAGGAAATTCCTTTATTAAACAAATTTAAGTTCCTAGGAGTATATCTTGACTCTAAATTGACTGGCGTTCACCACATGAACCACTTAACCGCAAAATGTGAACGTGTAATCCCAATTTTAAAGGCCGTAGCTGGGGTCTGGTGGGGAGCACACCCATACACCATGAAACTGGTATATAATGCCTTAGTACGCAGTATATTGGACTATGGGCTATTTTTACTGATTCCATGCAATAAAAGCGCTTTGGCAAAGCTGGACAGAGTCCAATCTAGGTGCCTTCGCATTGTTACTGGTTGCATGAAGTCCTCCCCTATAAATGCCTTACAAGTGGAATGTTCAGATCCACCTTTATCAATAAGAAGACAATTTCTCGCTTCACGTTTTATAATAAAATCTGTTTGTAAATCTTCCCATCCTCTTCTTCCAAAAATCTTAGAATTAGACTCCATTTGTACTACCTCAAATTACTGGACTCATAAGGGAATTCCATTGATTCTACAATCCTTTCGCTCCTACTCTACTTTTTTTAACTCTGCTGTGTCATTTGACAAACTCCCTCTGTTTTCCTTTAATTATAGTGTCCTTTGTTTTAAGCCGAATGTTCTTCTGGATGTTGGAATCCCTAAGAAATCTGCCTCTTCTGTTTCCACCTTTAATACACACTTAGCTGAACACTGGGATGGGTTTGAGAGGTTCTTTACTGATGCATCCAAACTTAATAATGATAGCTACACTGGAGCCGCTGTGTACTTCCAAAACTCCAGAATTCTCTTACAGTATAAGTGTCCAAAAGAGGCTTCAGTTTTTACAGGCGAGTGTGTTGCTATCTTAGAGGCATGCTTGTACATTGACTCGCACAACATCCACAAGGCAGTCATATTCACTGACTCTCTAAGTTGCCTTAAAGCCCTGCTACAAAATCCCTTTCGTAGTAAACTTCACAGTCCGCTGATCCCAGAAATAAAAAAAACCCTTTTGAATTGTTCCACCAACTCAAAAATAGTTCAACTGGTATGGGTTCCCAGCCATAGTGGCATTGTGGGCAATGAGTGTGCAGACTCACTGGCCAAAAGTGCTGCTACTTCTGCAATGTCGGACCTGAAACATCTTACACACCAGCATTACGACCTCTTAAGACTGCCTCAGAGAGAATTGTTAACATCCTGGCAGGAAGAGTGGAATAATTCCTCAAAGCATAAAGGGCGTCACTACTACGCAATCCAACCAAGCATTACCCCAAAACCCTGGTTCTATAAATTTAAGAAGGTATGTAAACCTGTCATCTCCACCATATGTAGGCTCCGCATAGGTCACTGCAGCTCACCTGTGTTCCTGAACAAGATTCGGGTACGGGATTCGTCCTTATGTGAATGTGGCTTAGATGAAGGCAATCTAGATCACATATTCTTCAGTTGTCCTAAAAATATCCCATCCCTAGATCTCTATTCTCACCTTACTGAACTAAAAATCCCCATCCCTATCAACTTCTCATCTCTCCTAACATTTTCTTCCCCCCACCTTCTCCAGGTCTTGATGTTGTTCATCCGATCCAATGACATCAGACTTTGACCTTCATTTCTATGAATATTGGATTTTTATTTTTTTGTGATTGTTTCCTTATTAGTTACCTATTTATTTATTTAATACATATCTTATCTATTTGTACTTGTCTGCTTGTTTCAGTGTAAATACTAACCACAACAAAAAGCCCCACATTCAGTCTACAATTAATATCATCAATTCAATTTTTTGTGTAATAAAACCCACGTATTTCCATCGCACTTGACACTGGCAGAATTGTCGACATCGGCACAGTTTGCCATTTATGAAGAAGAAGAAGAAGAAGAAATTCAACAAACAAACCAAAAACACGTCTATGATTCAATTTACTGTAATGGTGCGAAATGCACCGTTACATAGTATAGATACTACTCCTAGTTTAAGCTAGTACCTATGTATCAGTCTGTGTGAGAGAATAAAAATAAAGAAATTATTACTATTATCTATCAAGCGATGAACCTGGCACTTGCACAGTGAATCCATGGAAAGCCAAGAAATAGTTCTCGTGATAAAAAAATTTTGGTGTTTACCTTTCAGAAAAGAATTAGAACCGGTTCCAGAAGAGGACTTAGAAATAAACCCTCCAGATTTCTTCCCAGCAGGTGTTTCGTTCCCCAAAAGACCGCCATGGGATTTTAACATGACACCGGCCCAGCTTGATGCACAAGAGCAGAGATATTTTAAGGTAATATTCCAGCCCAAACAGCTCCAGTGGTACACCCAAAGGTCAAAAGAACTCAAATAATTCCCTACCACCAACCTTGTAATACAACTCCACCATTTGTCGACAGAATTATGTAGACCAGCTGCAGAGTACTCTTCATTGGAAGAACATGTCCTACTTTGAACTGAACTTGGAGACCTGGAGACAGCTGTGGAGGGTGCTGGAGATGTGTGATATACTCCTGCTGATCGTGGATGTCAGATACGCTGTAAGATGTTATGAACATACTTGTAATCTATACAAATAAATAAAATTGGAGTGTCTGTCATTAAAATTAAAATAACCGCTTTTTACTAAATGCATATGTATGGTACGGTACGGGGGTTGAAGATTAGCTGAAGAAACAGATAGACGGACGAAAAATATCTAAACTGGTTTTTAGGTATCGTGCAAATAACCGTGTAAGCTTGAAAAAGCTTTTTTTTTTTAAAAGAACTTGGAGATCAGACAGCCATGTTAGATGTTTGTCAATTTATTATTATCTATACAAATAAATAAAATTGGAGTGCCTCTTTGTAATATGTTTACATGGTACATATGCCAAAATAACATTTTTTACAATTTTTGTCTGTCTGTCTGTTGGTTCCGGGTAATCTCTGGAACGGCTGGACCGATTTCGACGGGATTTTCACTGGCAGATAGCTGATGACATAAGGATTAACTTAGGCTACTTTTTTTAGACTAGCTTCGCCCCGCGGCGTTGCCCGCGATTATAACAACAAACGCTGGTAACACCGCGGGTCTCAGCTAGACAGCACTAAATATTATTACAGTTCGCCTTTGTTTTAACTAGATGGCGTTAGATACTTTTACCCCATATACGCTGTGCTGCCGGAGTACTGTTGCGCCATAGGATTAAATGGTTCTTATAATGAGTAGTTAGTTCATGAACAATCGAGAGTCGTATGGAATCTTGAGGAGAGCGCCATCTAGTATCAAGTAAGGCACAACGATCAAATTAATTCAAAATTGCGACACTTTCTGCGTTATCTAGTGTCGAATATCGTCAGATAATAGCTCATAGAAATCTGTAGATTCCTTTATATACGTTGGTCTGTCTAGAACATTCTATCGGATCCTCGGGATTACTCTAGTAATTTCGATAGCCCTATAAATGAAGAGCGTGTTGGCCTTACGTGCGAGTATTTTTTCACTAGACAGCGGAGTAACATCTAAGGAGTTACTTAGTGTTTGTAAAAGAGAGAGTGTGTGTTTGTGTGTGAGTTTGTAAAATTAACCACCGTCTTTTATTTAGGGCTTGTAACAGTACAATATTAAGTTCATATTTTTTTTCAGGGAATGATGTTCCCCCCATCTCTTTATAAATACATAGTTGAGGATGAAAAGAAGGATATGATTCTAGTGCTGAACAAGATTGATTTAGTACCAGCCAGCGTTGTGTGTGCTTGGAAGGAATTCCTGACTAAGACCTACCCGGGGCTCAAAGTTGTATACTTTACGTCCTGCCCTGGGTACAACCTCCATGGAGCCACTAGCGATAAGGCAGGCAAGTAATAATGTTAATTTTTTATGGCATAATTGGGCAAACGAGCAGACATGTCACCTGACGGTAAGTGACAACCACCACCCATGGACAGCTACGACTCAAGTGTTACCCGCCAAGTGTGGAAATTACTGCTACTTTGAAATCATAATCATCATCTTATCATAATCATAATGATTGTGTTTAGTCACTGCGATTTGACCTGTGATAAATCGCTACTGGAAGATGGTCATAGACAAAGATAAATTCCATCAAAACTTAAGCAAGAAAAACCAAACTTTTTACCAACGACAAATATGCCGTGGTATGCCGTGGAAGTGGGTGCGAGGGTTATACCAGCCAAATCCCTCTATAACCTGCTTAAAGACCTTGGATTGCCAAGACCTTCAGTAAGCTCTTTTTCAGTAGGCTCGTATCAAATATGGTTAGGTGGAGGGGGTAAAACAGCAGACGGTGGAGGTAAGCGCTGACGGGTCGCAAGGAGTACTCCCTAAACCTATATTTGGGTCGCAAGTCCGAGGTGCTATCGAAGTCGCATGTGTTACGTGATCCCCCCATCTATCACGCGAACGCTAAGAAATAGGTCTGGACTTCCTTTTTTAAATGGAAGCTTAAAGCCTTTCCGTTTTAAAATAATTTGACTGCACGGATGGCGTAGTGGTTTAAGCGGTCGCCACGCCGCTTACTACTACGTCGAGTGTTGTGGGTTCGAACCCCACATGGGACGACACTTTGTGTGATCCACAAATTGTTGTTCTGAGTCTGGGTGTTCTTTGTGTCCGTTTCATGTATGTTTGTAAAGTCCCCCGCGACACAGGATATATTCCTAATGCGGGAGTTGTCTTTTTTAAGAAAAAAAAAATATATAATAATATTCCATTAATCAATCACAAAATTTGCAATAAAATACTTAATAACCTATGTAATAATACTAAATAATTGTGAGTTGTATTTTAAATCATGACATGCCTAAATAATTTAGTTCTTTTTTTTGTAATTATTTTTTATGACATGGGAGAATTACGTAGGACAACAGCACTGCAAAGAGAAGGAAAACTTGACACAAACCCTATACCAAACCATCTGGCCAGCGTGGTATAGTAGGCCAAAACCTCCTTTCCAAGGAGAGGCCTATGTCCAGCAGTGGACTATTAAAGGCTATTGATGTGATGATGATGATGATGTCCAGCTAACCTCATTTCTAAGGAGAGGCCTATGTCCAGCAGTGGACTATTAATGGTGATGTACAGCTGACTGTGATAATAAGTTCAAAGTATTTTTTTTAGGTTTACAAGTCCGTCGTCGAAAAGGCAAACAGCGTATGTGTGCAGAGGGCGCCACTAAGATATTGGAGGCGTGCAAAGAGATCGTGAAGGGAGATGTAGATCTATCCTCGTGGGAGAAGAAGATCAAGGAGGAGACTAATGTGGAGTTTGATTATGATGAGAACACTGAAGTTGGTGAGTTTTTTTATCCATATACTGCTCCTTCTCTTGGTGCACGGAGTAGTAAAACTGTTCGTTTTTGTGTCTTTTATGTTTTTCCACCTAATTTGCTGAATTTAATTTAATGCATTCTTATATTGAGATAAACGAAATTTAAAAAAAAACTACTTCTTAAAAGGGGTGTATTAAGACATTACATGATATTGACAATATCTAACCATTTTACATAAATATCTTCCCAAATGCAACTGTTGGAACGCGGCCCTCTCTTTATTTTAGAAGGATATAAGACCCATTCCTGAAAAAGCGACGGGCTGTTATAAGTTTGACGTGTGAGTATGTGTCTGTCTCTGGCATCGTAGCTCCCGAACGGATAAACCGATTTTGATTTTGTTTTCTTTAAAAGGTAAATTAGTCGGGAGTGTTCTTAGCTATGTTTGATAAAAATCGGTCCAAGATGGCCGCCGCCACAAAATGGCGGATTATATATTTTTTCACAACTCCCTCAATATGGGTATCAAATGAAAGAGCTTGAGTAGTAGTATACTATACACTGTGACAAATTTCAAATCCAAGATGGGAGTCGGGGTTTTTTTTATTTTTTTTCTGATTTCCTCAGGCGAGACGATTGTGGAGAAAGCAGACACCTCATACTACACCCACGAGAAGTACAAATCTGGTATCCTCACTGTTGGGTGCGTGGGACAGCCCAATGTGGGCAAGTCGTCGCTGCTGAACGCGCTGATGGGGCGCTGTGTGGTGTCGGTGTCGAAGACACCTGGCCACACCAAACACTTCCAGACGATATTCTTGACACCACAGGTAACAAGTTAATTGTTCTTTTACCGAGCCTTTTCCCAAACTAGGTTGGGGTGATTCCGACACACCACCCCGTCGCAAACCTCGGTGGGGTGACGACCCGAAGGGGTTTCCACAAGTAAAAAAATAAAAAAAAGGCTTTCAGTCGACTACGGCTTAACTTCGTTTTTTGCAGTTTACTCCTAAGGAATCCACTTTTATGTAAGGCCCGGTATGAAAACATTGAAGAGTAAAATTTGGTGATCGAATGACCTCGTTACGTTTTTTGTGCGCAACCTATCGTGCTCGCCTATCACTATTTAGTCATGTGTGTGTATAACTTGTATACTTGTGTGCAGCCGAATCGTTCCATGACACACACACTTTTTTTTTTAATGGAGCGACTGTCATCAGGCTTTCTTCTTCGTCTTCTTTAACTCTATCAGTTTTATTTCTATTGCTATAAACTATCCTGTAAACAACAGTTATGAAACGTAAGTTACTTTAGAAAATATATATTTTAAGTAAACTTAAAATTTCGCTCCATCATTCCGAAAACTAGGTTGGGGTCGGCTTTAATTCTACTACGATACTGCTTAACTTCGTTTTTTGCTGTTTACTCATTAAGAATCGATTTCCATATAAGGCGTCCGGTTTAAAAAAATTGAAGAGTAAAATTTTGTGATCGAATGACTAAAACTACTAGGCGATATCGAAGTTCTGTAGAAAAACTGTTGTCAGACTATTTAGGGCTCCAAATACCCGTAACGATTGTCACACATGTTCGTATGGCAACCGGGACTGACGGCATAAAGTGCTCTGCGAGGCACGGAGTGGTTCCAATGTATTAAGAATGGTCACCCATCTACACACTGACCTGGCTAGGAATACTGAACTTTGCATTATAATAATCTCGGTTACCACTTAGCGACGAGCCCCTCAAAACAAAAAAAAAAGACGTGTGGCACTCGGGGACTGCCGCGGTAAAGCTATTGCATAGCATTTTTTATCAACTTATGCAATTATAATTATTTATTTATTTTATTTATGCGGTATTTTTTTCCTTTTTTTTTCTTTGATACCTCAAAAGACAAAATCCATGAACTCGTTTAGACTACAGAGCGTGGGAGAGCCATGCTCCACGAATGGGCCGGCTGGACCGGAGTGATACCACGGCCTCACAGGAAACCTGTGTTAAGCAATTCTTTCGTTGCCTTTCACTGAGTGAGTGAGGTTACCTTAGTCCAAATCCCCCTTCTGACTCGAGCGGGAGGGACTCCAAGGGCGGCAACGCACTTGTCACTTGAGTTGCAGGTGTCCATGGGTGGCGGTGGTTGCTTACCATCAGGTGACCCGTCTGCTCGTTTGCCCACTGATACCATAAAAAAAAAGCTCGAAAACACAGAACCTTCTAGAGCAGTCGGGTAAAAAGTGTAAAAGTCAATCTCTGTGTATCCCTTATTCCTATCTCATTTCTCCTTTCTCTAATCATTTTCTCAAAAAAAGACAACTCTCACACTACGAAGTGTCCCCCGCGACACAGGATATATTACTAATGCGGGAGTTGTCGATGAAAAAAAAAAAGACAGAACAACAATTTGTGGATCACACCAAGTGTCTGGGATCAAACCCACAACACTCACACTAAGCCATCCGTGCAGTCGTCATCATAATTCCTTCTCAAGTAGTAAAAAATGCAACAATGCTCTTATGAATTTTTGAGTTGCAGCTGTTCATGGGCGAAGGTAGTCGGTTACAATCAGGTTGCTGCTTGTTTACCACCTTATACCACAAATATATTGCCGAAATATATAAAACTAATTATTTTCGGTATTCCTCAGGTACGTTTGTGCGATTGTCCAGGGCTGGTGTTCCCGTCCACTGTTCCAAGACCAATACAGATCCTTATGGGGTCGTACCCCATAGCTCAGCTGAGGGAACCCTACACTGCTATAAGGTAATCTTTACGTAGTATAAAATGAAGTCGCTTTTTTTTCTTGTACGCTTAGTATTTTTTGGCTCGAACAACGCAAAGGTTTCCAGCAATAGAGAGAGAGTGATTCAAGGGGCGGGTTTATTTGTTATACGGATCTTCAACAAGAATATCACATAGCATTCACAAAGAATATACATTATTAGTCCGTGTGGTGACGGATTAAGAATACGGAGTGTCACCACCCCTACTCATCCCGTGGGTGTCGTAAGAGCCGACTAAGGGAGCAAACTACGCAGAACATCAGCACTGCAAAGAGAAGGAAAACTTGACACAAACCCTATACCAACCCGTCTGGCCAGCGTGGTATAGTACGCCAAAACCTCCTTTCTAAGGAGAGGCCTATGTCCAGCAGTAGACTGTTATGGGCTGTTGATGTGATACATTATTGATCTGGTGTATCCTTAATTACAGAAGATCACAGCCTGCATTAAAAGTCAAATATAACATTAGGAATCTTCTTCTTGTTCTTCTTATAAAAGACAACTAGCACTAGGAATATATCCTGTGTCCGGGGACTTTACAAACATACATGAAACGGACACAAAGAACACCCAGACTCAGAACAACAATTTGTAGATCACACAAAGTGTCGTCCCATGTTGAGTTTGAACCAACAACACTCGGCGCAGTAGGAAGCGGCGTGGCGACCGCTTAAACCACTACGCCATCCGTGCAGTAATCGACGAAGAATCGAAAAGTATTATTACACAAATTATAAATGAATCAAATCAAGTCAATTTAAAATCACTGTTAAATTCATTAAGTCAATTTAAATACTAATAACATTTTGAAAGTTAAATATTAATTACTTATAAATAATATTTAACCGTCAATCAACCGTCCCCGCTGGAAATCATTGGGAGAGGCCTATGTCCAGCAGTGGACAAGCATAGGCTGAGGTAAGTAATAGTAGTAGTAAAGCCTCTTTATTTCCTTAATACTAACAGACTTCCTTAAAACAATATTATTTAATTATTAAGTATACAATGATATTATACTTTTTAAGTAATATTTAACTAAAATCGTAATGTAAAGTTACATTTATTGTATATAATTCAAATCAAATCAATTTTATATTAAATTTATGTCGTACATAGTAGATAAAATAGAGAATTTCAAAGATTTTTAATGTGTAATCGTAAAAAATCTGTTTTTGTGCGCTTAAATTGCATACGTAGGCTGAATCTTATGAGATAGACCAAAATAATGTCATTTATCGTATTATCTTTAATTATACACTGCAATTAAAACTGCGTAGATGATGGCGTAGTGGTTTAAGCGGTCACCTCGCCGCTGCCTACTGCGCTGAGTGTAGTGGGTTGGATCTCCACATGGGACAACACTTTGTGTGATCTACAAATTGTTGTTCTGAGTCTGGGTGTTCTTTGTGTCCGTTTCATGTATGTTTGTAAAGTTCCCGCGACACAGGATATATTCCTAATGCGGGAGTTGTCTTTTTACACGCTTTATGTTAGCTTCACTTGTATGTTTGTTTGTAACCGACTCCTTTGGGCGTGATTTTGACTGACTTTAAACGGTCAGAATTCGTTCAAACTTTGTAGATATATCGAGGACGGATGACAATACACTAATTAATAAAAAAAAAATTTAAAAAAAAAACACGGGGTGCTTTTTACTATTGACAACAGGCACCCAACGCTTTTTTTTTTCATTCCATTTTTTAGTTTGGTTTTCTATAAAAAGCGTGTTTTTTAGTTTTTTAAAACTATTTTTTTGTTTATAATGGAAAATAATGGTATGGAATTCTCACACACAGTTCTTCATCACCCAAAGGTCGAATGGAAGAAAGTTCGCTTTATGCAATATATTTTAAGGAAGTAATAAAAAATTAATTAAAAGATTTAATTGACACGTTTAACCTTCTAGGTACATAGCAGAGCGACTTGACCTCCCGAAGCTACTCCGCATTGACCACCCTGAAGGAGACAACACATGGTCGCCTAGAGACATTTGCGATGGGTGGGCGAAGAAGAGAGGTTATCTCACCGCTAAGGCTGCCAGGTATAAACTATATCAATCCTAAATATATCATCATCAGCCTATCGCAGTCCACTGCTGGACATAGGCCTCTCCCATTGCACGCCACTTAGATCGATTTTGGGCTTCTCGCATCCAGCTCCTGCCATATTGCGCAAATCGTCACCCCACTCCTAAATATATACCTAAAGGGGTTCACAGAGTTGTATAATTAAACTCCTGTAAGCGCGTTATTGTATATAGTGATATACAACATCAAAGAAAAACGTGGAACACTCCCAAAAGATCAAGGTCATGTCAAGGTTATCATATCGGCTTCCTACTGCGCCGAGTGTTGTGGGTTCAAACCCCACATGGGACGACACTTTGTGTGATCCACAAATTGTTGTTCTGAGTCTGGGTGTCCTTTGTGTCCGTTTCATGTATGTTTGTAAAGTCCCCGCGACACAGGATTTATTCCTAATGCGGGCGTTGTCTTTTTAAGAAAGAAAAAAAAATATATATGTCATGAAAATACCACCAAAGTAACATTTAACCAAGTTCCAAATTCAACAGATTTGTGTAAGTTAATGAGATCCCTTCATTAACTAAATGAGATGATGATGTCCACAAATTATAGCTAAAACTCATCTTGATCACATCAGCTTTCAAACAGAAAAACCCGCATCATAATCGGTCCATTCGTTTAGGAGCTACGATGGCACAGACGCACACAGACACGTCAAACACCTCTTTTTGAAATGGATGTTAAAAGACTTGGTATACTAGACTCAGTATTTTTTAACCCAAGAGGATTAATAGTCTATACCTACTAGGGATGGCATTAAATCACAATCACCTGTCATAAATCATATGATTTCTAAATAATTTCATCACACATGTGACTGATTTACAAAACCACTGCTACTTCATTATTATTATTACGTCAGCGCAAGACTCGCAAAAGGTCGTAATCTTTGATAAAAAGAATTTTGTTTGATGTTAATGCCATTTATCTTTGTTTATGACGAATCACATGTGAAATCACTGTGACTAAAACCAATCATTTCATTAAATGAATATGATTTAAAAGTAGCAATAATTTCCATGTCTAATACCTACAAATAATAATATAATATTGTACCACATTCACACAACGCCATTTAGTCCCAAACTAAGCAGAGCTGGTACTATGGGTACTAGACAACTGATATAAATACATATATACTTTTTTTGTTGTAAATACCTACATATTATACATAGAAACACCCAGACCAAATCAAACATTAAATGTAAAACATATCTATACAAATAAATAAAATTGGAGTGTCTGTTTGTAATATTAAAATAACCGGTTTTTACTAAATGCATATGTATGTTTACACGGTACATATGCCAAAATAACATTTTTTACAATTTTTGTCTGTCTGTCTGTTTGTTCCGGGTAATCTCTGGAACGGCTGGACCGATTTCGACGGGACTTTCACTGGCAGATAGCTGATGACATAAGGAGTAACTTAGGCTACTTTTTTTAGACTAGCTTCGTCCCGCGGCGTTGCCCGCGGTTATAACAACAAACGCGGGTAACACCGCGGGTCTCAGCTAGTAAACATATAAAATAACTTGACTTCACTGTCTGATTTATCAACACAGAACTTAAACCGCTGTGGCTAGAAACTTGAAATTTTAGCAGTTGACGCTTTTTATGTTGTAAGCACCCACTAAGACAGGATTTTTGGAAACTTCACTCCTAACGGGGTAAAATAAGGGATGAAAGGTTATATTCAAGTTTGTCATTTCCAAAGTTAGAAACACTAAATCGATTCTAATATTATAAATGCGAAAGTGTGTCTGTCTGTGTGTTTGTCTGTATGGTACCTCTTTACGCTTTAACCGCTAAACCAATTCAGATGAAATTAGGTACATAAATCATCCGCGGGAAAGGACATAGGGTAGTTATTATCTCAGAGAACATCCTTTAAGGAGGTGAAAAGGGAATCAATAACCGCTGAAATAGATGAAATTTGGTAGTTTTTATTTGGTCGAAACCGCGGGCAATAGCTAATGTATTAAAATGTTATTGTTTCAGACTAGACACTTATAGAGCAGCTAATAACATACTCCGAATGGCTCTGGACGGGAAGATATGTCTGTGGCTCCGACCTCCAGGATTTGCTGAGCAAAAAGGTCAGTAAGCGTTTTTTTATGACATCCACTAAGCAGACGGGTCACCTGATGGTAAAGGAGTACCACCACCCATAGACAATTGTAACTCTTGTTTAACTCATGAATTAATGTTTTTTTTTTACATCTCACAAAACATGATCCTAAATTAGCATAGCCTGTAACCAGACTGCTGATAAACATACTTATATATTTCTAAATACATACATATTATAGATAAATTACACCCAGACACAGAACAAATGATCGATCATTACACAATATTTGACTGCCTCTGTGGTGCAGTGGTTATGCGACTGCTGTGCTTAAGGGGTTCGATTCCTGGGTCAGACTAAATGTTTGTATGATCTGCGAATATTTGTTTCGCAGGATTGGTATTTTTTATGTGTGATATATAAATAATTTAAAAAAAAAAGTATAAAAATAATATATCAGTCAATCTAGCTTTCATAGTACAAGCTCTGCTTAGTTTGAAGCTAGATGGCGTTGTGTGTCAGATGTCCGATAAAAAATATTGTCCTAGGTGGAAATCGAACCCATGACCTCTGATTTAGCAGTCAGCAACGCTAACCCCTACACAAACAGGCCTGTCATTATAAATAAAAATTATTCTTTTGAAGTTTTTTGTACTTTTGAAATGTTTATAAATATTATTTTGCTGTCAACAGAAAAACACGAAACAGCTGAGGAAATAAAATACATTAAATGGGTACAAGCTCTCACTGGTGCAAGTGTGATAGAGGAAGTGACGTCATCAGACGAGGGTCACCAGTCTGAGGGTGATTCAGACGCAGACGAGAGCAGCGGTGATGATGATGAAGAGGAACAAACCATTATGGCCAACAAATTCGCAGCTTTGACTAGTCAAGACTGAGAAGTTTGATTTAAAGTGAAATTAACAGATGGGTGACCGTCTTTATTATAAATAGGTAAAAGAATACAGCAGATTTAAGTGATTGGAATGTAATGTGTGTCTGTCTGAGGCATCGTAGCTCCCGAACGGATGCATCGATTTTGTTCTGCTTTTGACGTGACAACGTCTTATAATTCGATGGAGCCGGCTGCACGCACGAAAAAACATGACTCATGCGGCGTTACCTCGCTCTGAGGCGTTCCATTTAAGGCGTGAAGTGCAAGCGAGAGCGCGGAACGAGTGACAAAGAGGCACAATCGGCCTCCGCGTTCGGCAGCGTTCGACATCTGTCTCTCTCCTACTTGAGTGAGCGATGCGTCCGCGTGGACAGCTGCTACTCGTATACAATAATACATTTTTGAAAAATGCAACCATTCCATCAGTATTTTCTTATGACGTTGTCACGTTCAACTATCATCAGTAAACCGACTTTTTTGTTTAAAAGGTGAACTATAGTCCATAGACGTTGTGCGCGACCGTCCTGCGGGGTGACAGACGGTGGCGGGGACGATGTACTCAAGATGTCAGCGGGTAGCGGGTGGTGTAGCGGGGAAGGGACACACTTCTCTTCGTGTGTAGCCGTGTGCTAGAATGAGGCGCTACCTCGCCCCCGCCACTGTCTGTCACCCCGCGGGACGGTCGCGCACGAGATTACAGGGTTATAGTCGGGAGTGTTCTTAACTATGTTTGATGAAAATCGGTGTTACAAATACTAGTAAATCAGTACAGTAGGTATTTAAAAATATAATTTGATCAAAATTAATGGATGCAGAGTTTTTTGCTCTCTAATATCCGCCGATACGCGGATACTCGCCACATCACTAATCGCTGTATCCTCTTATCTGAATAACTCTCTAAAACTGGCACAACTAAATTTGCGTATAAAAAATACCAACGGATTCCACAACTTTCTACTAATTATTCGTTGCTAGATGATTGTGGAATACGTCATGTTTTTGTATAAAACTTGAGACGTTAAAGTAATCTTTGTTCAAAAGAGAGGTCCTCAAAACAAGTTATATGTTCATGCTGATTTTGGAATATATAGGGTGCTACAAAAAAGGTATGGTTAAATTTTTTGAATGGTATAATTTCGTAAATAGCGCCAATCGTTATTAGAAAATTTGTGATTTTTAGTATAATAATATTAAAACTACAAATTAATTTTGAAAATTCGCCTATTATTTCGTATGTGAAAGGGTTGGCTAGAATGGTACTATGTATATTTAATACCAAGGATGTTGATGGAAGATCAGGTATTTTGTAAAAATGGAGACAAAAATCGAACAACAATATTTTTCAAGCTAAATGCCAGAAAAAAAGCTAAAGATTGCCCATATTTTAATGTAACACCCTGTATACTTAAAACTCATGTAAAATATTATACCGCGATGTAGAACTAATAGTAGATAATTGCGCTTAATGTTATATTATATCACCCTATGTGCATTTAATAGTAAACATCTACAGAGTTTATATAAAATGGCTGCTACACGTACTAAACGAACCAGTGATTAATTATAGTCACTGGTTAAACTGGTAATTATTTATTAAATCACTGGAATAAATATAATTATTTTATTAAGCCAGTGAATTATCATTAAAGATGTGATTAAAATACATGCTTTTATCAAAACTGCGATATAAATATTTATTAATATACTAGAATAATTTATTGTATATGTATGAATTTAATTAATTTATTAAATGCTAAGGAAGTCACTGGTTACAATATATTCGCATTAAAACATTTCACTTAGTAGATTATGACTTTTTTATAAATACGTTAATATTTATTAAACTATAATAAAAAAACGTTCATTTGTAACAAGGCTATAGTCGTTTCATATGTAAAGTCTACTTATAATAGAATAAAAAACTAAAAATAATACGGATATTTCGTACCTATCAGGTATCTGATCATTTGGATATACCTCCCGGTTTGACTGTCTTTGAGATTGGCCGGACTTCCGGTATCCGGCTAAACAGCTATCTAATAAACTATAAAAACTAAAGTTTCATTCAAACCAGCGAGTAAATGTATTACATACTTATAAAATCACTGGAAAAACCAATGATCTTGTAATCTCACTGGAATAACCAGTGACTTTATAAATTATGAAGGCTATTATATTACGCTTTTTACTTTTAATTGTGTAGTTGTTTTCTTTTAAGTTTATGCTATTATTGTTAAAATGTTGTTCCTAAAAAAAATAAGTATATATTTTTGTCAATTTCACTGAAGTTTTATATAATTGACTGGTCCTTTTTGCCTACGGTTCGGTTTAAACCCAGGACAAATACCAATTTGGGGGGGGGGGGGGCAGGTTTTATGGGCACAGAAAGGGTGGCATCTTGAGTTGCAGATGTCGATGAGCGGCGGCAGACACTTAACTCTGCTACTGTGCTCGTTTGCCACCTTTTACATAAATAAAAGCTATCTTTATAACAGTATTATTCGTATCTTTTGTGTCATAAAAAAAAAGGTCTCCTCACATTTACCTACGAGAAACTCCGTTTTAGAAAATGATCTAGCCGTGCCCTGCGGCTCCATTCTATGTGCTATCTATATCAAAATAGATGTTAATGTGGTGACAGACATGATAATGTACAGTAAAACAAAAATTTATTACAGCGCCATCTAACGAAGACACACAGAACTACGAAATAATTGATAATCCGATCGCGATATGAAAATTAATCATTATTACATGTTATGTAATTTCAATGAATTGACGTGTTTACGTTCGTTAAATTTTGGGAGACTTATAATAAATAACGCTTAACAATTGGTTTAAATTTATTCTACAATTATTTAATTATTACAATGTGTATTTTTTATATTTATTTCTATAAAATGATTATTTTATATATAGTTTTTGTGTTTTATTTATTACTAGTTGAGACCCGCAGTGTTACCCGCGTTTGTTGTTATAGCCGCGGGCAACGCAGCGGGGCGAAGCTAGTCTAAAAAAAGTAGCCTAAGTTATTCCTTATGTCATCAGCTATCTGCCAGTGAAAGTCCCGTTGAAATCGGTGTAGCCGTTCTAGAGATTACCCGGAACAAACAGACAGACAGAGAGACAAACATTGAAAAAAATGTTATTTTGGCATATGTACCGTGTAAACATACATATGCATTTAGTAAAAAGCGGTTATTTTAATATTACAAACAGACACTCCAATTTTATTTATTTGTATAGAAAACATTCATCATGGACAGATAACATATTATGATTTGAATCAATCTCGATTTCAATTGTTGAGGCATATATTCACACCAGGGTTGTTGCTGATCACAGGAGGGGGTAATCTAGAATCCGTAGATGGCCCGAGGTACGTTGGGGTTCTTGGGATTTCCTTTCCAAGGACAGAACCAGGTGTACCCCCTGGTTCTTTCTGTGATCTGTAATGCTCCAGAAAAAGACCGCTGAAAGGGATCGGGAGAGGGCTGATTCCGAGCGAAGAAGACGTCGGCGGCGGAATGAGCAGCCGACTGGACCGCGGGCCGCCAGAGTGGGGACCTCTGCTGGCAGATTAACTGTTGCGGTAGGGGATAGAATAGCAGCCTGATCGCACTGAAACTGTGACCGCAAGGGAGAAGCCACTGGCTTTACCTGAGATGGGGCCTAGTTAGGTGCGGCGTCGATCTGGGGGGATCTGAAATCACATAGCCCGGGTTCTCCCCAGAGCAGGGCGCCTAAGGCTGGCCATCCTATTGGTGGGTGGTATCCGAGGGGATTTCCGCATGAAAAAAAAGGGTTGCTGTTGATACAGGTTTTTATTTTTATTTTATTTTTATTTTTACACTTCCTGCATTACAGTTTGCACGAGGCGGACTTAATGCCACATGGCATTATCTACCAGTCAACCTTAAGATGGTTCAGTAAGGGGCATGGCAGGTGCACATATATTATGTAATAAGAAGAGAAGCTATGAAAATATAACATTAATTTGATAATACTATTTGAAAGAGATAGACGAATACATAGATAACTATTAATATATTATACATACGGAATATAATAAATACAATACTCGTAAAGTTTGGGTGACGATAACATGAGGATATTTCTGCTAGCTGTTTCCTGTACAATTCGCGGACTTTAGCTTTGAACGTGTCACGACTTCCTGACATCCTGATCTCAAGCGGGAGCGCATTCCATAGTAGGATAGACTGGACAGCAAATAATAATAATAATAATAATAATAAAGTTTATTTCTCTTCCACAAAGGTTCCTTAAAATTAAAACTTATAAATAAATTGAGAGTACGTTAAATGAAGAATGAACAAGAGAAGAAGTGTGGATTCTTTTGAGATTCTAAATTTAAACACATTCGAATACAGAACAGTTCCAAATTCAAAATTGCCGGGAAATATGGAAACGACAGAACTTAAAAGGCATGCCTAGTAAGCTGTTCTATTCATGTTTTAAGATGACATTGATAATTTTTATGTAAATTTTTATGATTATAAAACAAAAAAAATTTTTATTACCATCATTAAAAACATATTTGTTTATTAATCACGATTTATATTTTGGTGTGTAAAATTGACGGGCTTGTTGGTCTAGTGGTGATTGAGCCGGACTGCAAAACCAGAGGTTCGATTCCCACCCAGGACTAATAGTGTGAGGAGCACGATCGTTTGCTCTGTGCCTGAATGTAATTTATCCATAATATGTATGTATTTATAAATGTAAAATGCGTCTTTGTCGGTCATAGCGGTAAAAAGAACCCTATGTCCTTCCTTAAGAATCAAGCTGTCTCCATATACAATTTCACCTAAATGGGTTCAGCGATTATTGATTGCCCATACAAACTTCCACCTTTTCACCCCCTTAAAGGACGATTTCTTTGATAAACAACTATCCTATGTCCTTTCCCGGGACTCAAACTATCTCTATACAAAATTTCAACTAAATCCGTTCAGCGGTTTAAGCGTGAAGAGGTAACAGATA